AAACAGATACAGGAAGAAGTCCAGGTACCAGGAGGATTAGGACTCAGGAAGTGGATTGCCTTGCTATTATGATGGATGCTAAAGGTTTAGATTTGGAAGAAAAAAATAGAATTGCAAGGTAAGAAACCATAGGTGGCCTTAAGAGCATGAAAATTCCCACTTGAAAGGTTCCTGCAGGCTGCTGCGGGCAGAAAGGTGACACACGGGAAGTCTGGGTATGCATTTGCTCCAGTTATCTCTTGGCCATTGTTGATGGCCTCTTGGAGAGCAGAGGCTGGTGAGAGGGATGCTGTGGTCACACGTAACTGCAGCCCCCAGTCATTTGGGGGAGGATGTTAAATCCACTGTAGCAGCAGGACAGTGCTGCTGATAGGCCTGTGCTGCTGCAGGTGGTCTAGAAGGGCACAAGTGCTTGGGCACAATGCTTGGGCATGTCCCAGCTGCACTGGTGCCATGTATATATGAGTCTTCCATAAGTACAGGAGCTTGTCTTTCCACCTGAGTAATTGCAAAAGTAAAACCAAGCAACATAGCGCAGGACAATCAAAAATGCTTCCGAGCTGCTCTTCGGCACACCAGTCTGGGGTGGCACTACTGAAAGCCTCTTTCCTAATGCACTGGAGGGCTCTTGCCTCCTGCAATGCCCTAGAAATGGTTTGGCACATGCTTATTGGCTGATTCTGCCAACTTGAACCTGCACAGCAGCAGGGCAGAAATGAACAGAGGGGGAAGAGCTGATTCTTCTAATGTTTTTGTCTCCCTGACAAAGATTCCTGCAGGGAGGAAGTCAGCAGCACTGAGCAGACCAGTAGGCTTTTGGCGTAAGTCTGGGTTTGTTGTGTGTAGGGAACTGGTTCCAGCTGACAAGCTGCCTCCCTTACCAGGTCCTGAGTGGTGAGCTGTGGCATCACCTCTAATTTTGGTAGACTCCTCCAGGCTGTTTCCATAGAGGCTGGGTTCAAAGCTTCATAGAAAGATGTGGAGGAAGCTCCTCATCTCATACACTCCCTCATCATCCTGTCAAGCAGTATTCCCACCTCCACACCACTAAGAGATTGCTCTGGGGGTCCTATCTGTCACACATAGCCCATGAATCATTCCCTTCAGTGGTGCTCCTACATTTGCAATCCCACGTAATCCCAAAGACAGGATCTAGGCCTCAGGGATTTAATTATTTACACTCCCCTCAGTCTTTCCATCCTTGGTCCCCCTGTCCCCCTGCACCCATTCATTTTGCTTCATCATGTGCTGTTCTCCACTGTATCAATCAGATGGGCAATTTATCCTCTCCTGTTTCCCACATGAATCCCATCTATCACCTGTCTGTCTTTGAAATTAATTTACTGGCTGGACAGCTGCCCACTTTGTGTCCATGGCTGCTTCCCATCCATGGGGAGTGCTTACTGAAGGGGGGTGGTTGCAGGTGCTGCAGTGTTCTGTGCCCTAAGGAGCATTGCTGACCTGTGGGCAGTACTTTTGGGATGGGACTGCTGCATGTGCTATGGAACAGTGGAGAAAGGGCTGCCAGGAGGTACCCACGCATTCCTGGATCTGTTTGTGCTGTCAGTCACCATCACAGCAAAAAGCACTGCCTGGCAGAGAGGTTACTGTGTGTATTGCTGTGGTCCTCAGGCTTGAACAAGGCTTTTAGTAGTCCCTGGAGCCTCCAGAAAGCTCCTGAAGGGTGTCCTGATGGGCAGAAATCAACATAGTGTTCTTTTTTCTCTCTCCTCCAGAAGTTCTTTCCTGCTGTTGTTTTCAGCTCAATTAAGCACATGTCTACTACTACATGTCTACTATCTGTAATAGACAGGTTTACAGGTGCTGGCTTTGACTTCTGCTGTCTGTGTGCTAGTTCAAATGACTGATGGCAGAGCTGGGGCACCATCCTGCTGAATGGGATACACACTTTGTCTTAGTGATTTGCCTGGGATCATAACCCCTTTGGACTGAGGTGGTTGGTCTCAGTGGTATTTCTTATGTCAAAAGTTTTCTCAAAGAGCGGAAACTTTCAAGACAGGCTGTAAAAGCTTCTTCCAACTGCTTAAGCTGTTAAAGGAGACAAGGTGTTGAGGGTGGGTTTTCTTTCACTTGTTACTTGTGAGTTTTTTCTCATTGACTTGCTAAGAAACACTGAATGGCTAGGTACTTGAGACAAGGGAGGGGAAACGCCTCTGGTTTTTGGAAGGGACAAAGACACTGCAAGATTAGAAGCAGGTAAAAGGAAGACTGGGGCAGTTGCTCTCTCTCGCTTGTTCTCGGCTTTGGAGGAGGAAGGTCACTGTTACCACCACCATCCCAATGCTGGGAGCTGCCTCTTCCTCTGCTGGAGGACCCCTGTAAGGGTCAGTCCCAAGTTTCCCTCGTTTTTGCCTCTCGACTGTCACAAGGAGACCTCGAGGACCCCCACCCAGGCTGACTCTGAACAATGGTTTCCTGGTCTGGCCAAGATGGATGCTTGTCAGGTGACTGTGTGCCAGTGTATTGTGTTCACTGGACTGTGCTGTTGTGGCACCAACCAGAGACTGTGTTGTACCAACTGGAGACTGCATGTACTGCCTGACCGCACCTGTCTCCTGCACCACCACACAATGGTCCATAAATCTTCCCACTTTTTGGCCAGAGGCCACTCGCTTTGGAGAAGGACTATAAAAGAGCAACCTTCTGGAGAAGAGCCTTGAGTACTCCCCATGGATGAAGACTCGTCTATCAGCTGGCCTGTGAGGACGTCCATCTCGTCTCTTTGGTAGCTATTTTCCCATCCCCTTCTTTTTCTTTTTCTCTCTCTATACTTTGTTTCCTATATCTCTCCCCTCTATCGCAACTGAGTTGTTGGCATTCAATGAAAATGCATTGCTGTTGTTGA